TACATACATACATACATACATACATACATACATACATACATACATACATACATACATACATACATACATACATACATACATACATACATACATACATACATACATACATACATACATACATACATACATACATACATACATACATACATACATACATACATACATACATACATACATACATACATACATACATACATACATACATACATACATACATACATACATACATACATACATACATACATACATACATACATACATACATACATACATACATACATACATACATACATACAAATCTATTAATTAACCGCTAATACGGAAATTTCCTTTCTTAATTCAAGGCAAAATTTGACACAAGCTTCATGAGTCATACCTCAAAAAAATAATAAAAAAAAATAACTGATAATAATATGGTAATACAATAGTAATAATTACTTATATTATTATTTATAATAATTATAAAAAAATAATAATAAGAAAAATAAAATTATGATTAGTAGCAGCCCAACCGTCTTCCGAATGGAACTGCTTGGCTCCAACACTCGCTTCAGAGATTCCGCTTAGCTGGGAATGTCGAAAATCTTTCAGTTCCCTAACTTGAAAAGAATAATAACATAATAACAATAATAATATAATTATAATTACAGTAATAATATAATTATAATTACAGTAATAATATAATTATAATAACAATAATAATATAATTATAATAACAGTAATAATATAATTATAATTACAGTAATAATATAATTATAATAACAATAATAATATAATTATAATAACAGTAATAATATAATTATAATTACAGTAATAATATAATTATAATAACAATAATAATATAATTATAATAACAGTAATAATATAATTATAATTACAGTAATAATATAATTATAATAACAATAATAATATAATTATAATAACAGTAATAATATAATTATAATAACAATAATAATATAATTATAATAACAGTAATAATATAATTATAATTACAGTAATAATATAATTATAATAGCAGTAATAATATAATTATAATAACAGTAATAATATAATTATGGTAACAATAATAATTTTTAGTCTTGCAAAGTCAGTTCAAATGTAGGAATGATGTGAAAGTTAAGTAGCTCTGCTTATGACAGAGTTGCTTAATAATAAAAGACAAAAAAAAGACCGAGATAAAGGGAGAGATGCGAATTTGCTAATATGAAAACTCACGAAGACGTGCACACACACGCACATACTTACCCCAACACAAAAACGTTTAACAACTAAAAACCACACAAACATACACACATAAACAACACATACACAAACAGAGAGAGAGAGAGAGAGAGAGAGAGAGAGAGAGAGAGAGAGAGGGAGAGAGAGAGAGGGAGAGAGAGAGGGAGAGAGAGAGAGAGAGAGAGGGAGAGGGAGAGAGAGAGAGAGAGAGAGGGAGAGGGAGAGAGAGAGAGAGAGAGAGGGAGAGGGAGAGAGAGAGAGACATCTAGCTAGACCAACATTTAAACACGGGCACGAACAATCCCACGCCGCAATCATCATCATCATCATAACGACCATCCCACGCGATGACGTCATCTTCGGTGCACGTGACGTCACACAGACTTGAGGCCATTCGGTACTCGGCAGTTTCGAGGCAGAAGCATTCGATACCGTTCTGTCGGATATTTCGGTAATTCGGCGTTGTATGTTATGCTGTTAATGCACCGAGAAAGCTGGTGTAAAATTATGAAATCATGTTATGTTCTCTTTCTCTCTCTCTCTCTCTCTCTCTTTCTCTATCTCACCCTCTCTCTCTTCCACTCCCATTTTCTCTTCTCTCTCTTTCTCTCGTTCTTCATGCATTGTTTATTTTTCAGCATAACTCATTCATTCACCATAATATGATCTCTCCCTTAATTTCTCTGCCTGTTTCTTCCTGCCTCTCTTTTCATTTCTTTTTTCTTACATACACTCTCCTTCTCTCTTTCATCCTAACTCTTTCTCTTTCTCTCTTTTAATTCTCTCTCTCTCTCTCTCTCTCTCTTTCCTTCATTTTCGAATTGTCATAAAATAGCGCTCGAGCTAACCACAAAAGCGATTAGATAGACAGTTGCCGGTTCAGCCGAGCAGAAATGAGCGCAGTCGTCAATCGACATCGTGTGGCCTGCGAGTGTGTGTGTGTGTGTCTGTGTGGTGCGTGTGTCTGTGTGTCTATTGTTTATTTGTGTGTTATGGCCCCTCGTTGTAAGCATTATTTTCATTAAAACTCAGTAAAACCCAGTTTCTAGTCATAAACCGACGTAATTAACCAAAAAAGCTCTTGCCTAATTTTAAATTTTAGCCCGCTAGTACAAATTTGGTTAGATTCCTGGCCTCCAGTCAAATTTCAAAATTTAAACACTTCAAAATTTTGCTTGTTTATGCGTACAATTCGTAATTTTTACTATTATTGATATTGTTATTATGATTATGATGATGATGATTATTATTATTATGATGATGATTGTTATTATTATTATTTTTATTATACCTGCTTTTGTGTGTAGAATTGAAGCAAAACATCCCATGTACATTACCTTTTCATGGCTCTCATAATCATCGCCATTCTTACTCACTCCTGTATACAATAAAAACAATTATTATTATTATAAATATTAATAATTATTATTATAAATAATATTAATTATTATTCATTTATTATTAACCCGAATCAGATGAAGCTAATTGCTGTATTAAAAAAAGCAACAAGTACACGCAACGATCAATGTGCATTCCTTTTTTATTGATATAGTGATAGTCGATTCGTTTATTATAATTATTATGGCTTTATTATTATTATTATAGTTTAATTATTATTATAGTTTAATTATTATTATTATAGTTTAATTATTATTATTATAGTTTAATTATTATTATAGTTTTATTATTATCCATATTTTTGTTTTTTGAAATTACAACGGCGTATTTTTTCAAATTCTTCTAGCAGTTAACAATAAAGAAAAAGTATACGTTATTATTATTATTATTGTTTATTATTTTTATTTATTGATATTACTGTTTATTATTAGTCATAATTTCAATTAATTAATTATAAATGATATTATTATAATTATTTTATATTACATTTTCCCTAATAAATGGAAAAATTCTTTTCTAAGTTTTTTTTATTCGCCAAAACAAAACTACGAAAAAAAAAATTCAATGTAATAATATAACGATGGGTCACTAATGTAGAATAAAAAAATATATATACTAAACACACACAAACACACACACACACAGACACACAGTAATATTAATAATTTTACTATCGTCACGTCACTATCTTTAGCAAAGACACAGTTGTTAAATTAATGATGTTAAACAATAATATTACAATAACAACATGCAGTTCGTAATGGAAAATTATCACTCAATCTCACACATACATACATACATACAAACACATACAAACAAACATACATACGTACAAACACACATCACATACAAACAAACATATATACAAACATACATACAAACAAACATACATACAAACATACATGAACCAAGGAATATATATTTATTTAGTCATTTTATTTTCATCAAATTGTTCATATTTTCTACTTACATTTATATGTATATTCATCAATACATCCATTCATTCATCCATTCATCAATTCATCCATCCATCAATTCATCCATTCATCAATTCATCCATACATTCAGACATAATCATAATCTGGTATAAATCAAAATCTAAAAACCACATTACGTAAAGAGAAAAAAAATTATCATTTTTATTATAACTACATATATATATATATATATAATTAAAACCACATATATATATATATATATACAATATATATATATATATATATATATATATATATATATATATATATACAATTCGTTAATTAAAGCACATAACATGGTCACCATATAGAGAAAGAAATGATACAAAATGAAACAATACACACAACAATTGGGTGATTGAGTGATAAAAGAATAATTGAGTGAGTGAGTGATCGATTAACAGATTAATAAATTGGATGGTTGACTGACTGATTGATTGATTAATTAAATGGTTGATGGATAGATTGAATGATTGATTGGTGGAATTAAAAAATGAATGGCATACATGGTAAGTACAAATTCGCACATAGGTATGCAATATATATATATATATATATATATATATATATATATATATATATATATATATATATATATATATATATGTTGGTAATAGACCATAATTTTTACAATATTCTATAAATTCTACCGAATGTTTGGCG